TATCCACAGTAGTAACATAGGCCATGGCTTCTCCTTCGGTCTCTTTCCTCAGGTGTCACTTTGCAGTGGACAAGTCCTAATTGCATAGGTTCCTCAGGGTCAAGTGTAACACAGGATACCTCTGGAGTTTTCCTAGGAACTGGATCATAAGGAGACATCACTGGGGTGTAGTGGTGGTACTGGGTTTCTTGGTTTCGAAGAATCTGAGATTTTTTTGTACGTGGAGCTGGCTTGGGCACAGTGGTCTTGCATTGTGAGTCCATAGCAGTACTGAAGGATTCCCAGCTGACAAGGACAGGACTCTTCGTCTGCAACATTTGGTGAGCCCATACTTTGATGCGTCCAGACAACAGGTTGATAGCCGCTTGGACCCTAATGAATTCTGTGGCATATGTTTGAGGCTTTAAAGAAAACAACACCTCGCAATCCATCCTGAAGGACTGAAAGGATGTGTGGCTACCATCAAATCGGTCAGGCATGATGACAAACGGTTCAGGATAAGCTGGTTCCGGGGCTGGATGTACTGTGCCTTTAAGAAATAAAATTTCTTGCTGCAGCTCCGAAACAGTCTGGGCCAGGCTGGACATTTGCTGGAACAGGGGTGAGCACATCTCTGCGGACTCCATATTGATCAAGTCTTTTGTCAGGGTCTTACCTGGGTTGGGAGTCTGTAGCGCAGATATGTTGCTCACCCTTGCAGATAGCCACAGGCCAAGGTGGTCAGGTAAGAATTCACCTGGCCTGTGGGTCTGTGCATGGGGGCTGTGCAGGATGAAGTACCAAGTCGCAGGACAGGCAAGGACTCAAACAACAGGATCGTCAAGGGATAGCCGAGGTCAAAGGATGCCAGAGGACAGGAACAACGAGGAGTAGCCGAAGTCAAGGGATGCCAGAGGTCAGAGTAAACGTAGTCAGAAGCTGGGGTCAATAATAAGTAGCAGATCAAACGACAGGAACACTGGTACGGAACACACAACAGGATCAAAGACTTGATCCTGATCACAGGGCGAGGCTGAGTTTAAATACCCTGCTGATCTCTGATCAGGGTCAGGTGAAGCACAGCCATAGTCAAGGTACAGCCCCCAGAGTAATAGATATGCCAGGATGAACAGGACCAGAATGACATATATATATATATATATATATATATATATATATATATAAGTTGATATATAAAGCTGCTGTGGCTCAGAGGTAGGAAGCAGGGCCGGTTCAAATCTACTGTAGGGAACTCCTTGGGTGACCCCGTCAGGCCATCTGTCTGCCGTGGTGAGAACCGTGACAGTTATTTAGCGCTGACCCTCCCCCTCGTTCTTAAGACATTATATCTGCAGTGAGAATGTTTTGCAGAAAACTGAGCTTTCCCAGTCAACTGGCTTGCATTCAAGAGAGTAGAAAGATCTCAAATAATCCGCTCTTCTAGACCTGTCATCGTAAATCTGTAAGTGGCCACATGTTGTATACTAATGGTCCTATCAGGTAGACTAGACAAGACATAAACAAGAATTAGTGGTGCATTCTTCTACAGAAGCAGAGTATATCTCTATATACTATATCTCTACAGCAGAATTATGTAAAGAAGCACAATGGCTTAACCAACTTCTGGAGGACTTGGATTGAAGATGCACAAAGATGGTGCAAACCAAAAAACTAAAAGCACGCACCACACACATTGACATTAGATATCATGCAATAAGTGACCCGTACAGGAAAGGATTTATTGAGATGCAATACTGCTCAGAGATGACAGCTGATATTTTGGCAAAATCCTTGCCAAGAGCCATTTTTGAGTAACTATGTTTGAAGATAAATTTATTAGGTTCCAATTAGGTACTATTAAAAAGGGGTTATTACTTTAAAGAAGCAGGCCTAAACACTGGATGGTACCATTGGCATATAATAAGAGATTTGTGCTAGTAAGTTAAATTATATTATAATTATATAAAACGTAATTATATAAAATCAAATAAATACATAAAATTACATTGACTGTACTATTTTTCAAATGCTAGCTGAAGTATTACAAGTAACAGTTCTAGTTACAGATAACCCCTTTTAACACTTTTTCAGGGATCATTGTTCAGTTACTCATTTCTTTTTACTTTTTGAGCTTGTATATTACCCGAGCAAATTGCTTTTGGAGGAAAAATATCAAGTATCAGTACAGACTATTTGAGAGTAAAATAGCCTTGTTTTTCATTTCAGTTATGGGTCAGTAGCTCATTCCTTGACTTGAAAACAAGAGTTGCAAAGCTGTCTGACCTTCAGCACTATTTAAAAATCCTCAATAATCTCAGTGCTGTTTTCAAAATAACACATATTAGACAGTAATAGGCACTGGCATTGGAAACTGGTTGACATATACATGTTCTAAATGAGTGACATATGTGGCAAACCTAGCCACTCGGACTATAACTGGACACTATGCCTTTAAGGGTTGCCTATAGGTCTGGAGAGAGATGCGTTGTACCTGTATGTGCCTGCTTCATGTATTACCTGCATTGCTTGTACCTATCTGTTCCGCCGAATGCAAATGGCGGTTTGTATGGGGATTCCCGTTCGTTTCGCGAACGGCACTTTGGAGGGCCGTTCGTGAAACGAATGCGATACCCCCTAATAGCCCACACACTTAGAGGCGTGTGGCGCTAGTTAACCGATTGCAACATTGTTGCAATCGGTTATTAGAGGCTCTCCTGGGTGGCCGTCATTCGAATACCGACCATGCGGCGGTCGGCCATCTTGGATCCCTGGTCCTTCAGCGGGTCCGTGTCGTCGAACAAAAAGATATGGAAGGGCTGCGCCAAATAAGGGTAGACAGTCCAGTAAAGTATTGCTAGGGTGCCAATAGATGGTCTAGGATACTTGATAGAGTTCCTCTGTGGAGGCGTATTCAGGAGAGCTATGGCCAGCTCTGGTGTGGATTGCGTACAGCGGTATAATCCCCGCTTATGGGATATGTAGGGAGGGGTCTCCGTCAGCACCGTCTGGTAGTCCAGAGCTCGAAAAAGAAAGACAGAAAGCAACAATAGTGCTCTCAATTTTGATGTGGTTCAATGTGCAGATAAGAAGAGGTAAAAAACTCACATTTGAGGGAGCTATGGCCAGCTCTGGTGTGGATAGCGTACAGCGGTATAATCCCCGCTTATAGGATATGTAGCGGCGATACGTCCGTCAGCACCGTCTGGTGATCCAAGGCTCCAATATAGAAGAATAAAAAGCAGCAATAGTGCTCTCAATTGTGATAGGTTAAGAGAGTAGTAGAGAAAATAAAATAATACTCACAAAGATAGAGCAGAGGTACTGCTCTATGGATAGGCGCCGGTGGTATGATCCCCACCTAGGATTTCTTGGAGTACTGGAACTTTAAAATTGCCAATGGAAGTAAAAGTAACCAGGAAAGGTTAAAATGCCAGGAATAGGTAAAAACAAAAGTTGTTTAAAGTGCATAAAGAGTGCAATAAAAAGAGGATTGGTACAATAAAGTAGCCAAAAAACTTTTATTGATCTAAAATACACAGTAAAATACAGAATTAATAACCATAAACGCGTTTCACCATAAGTGGCTTCTTCAGAATGGGAAGAGCATTGCCAACAGTTATTCGACGGCACGAACACCGCTGAGCCTCCAGGACGTTCGGGAGTTTCAGGACCAGGTTCACTAAAAGCAATCGGTTCTTTTCGTGGGTTTTGAAAGAAATGTGTTTTCTGTGCGGCGTTCGGTTATTTTAGCTGGGATCTGAGCGGCAATCTCACGAATGATGCGCCCAGACCCCAGCTATCTACCGAACGTCCATTCGTGTAAATCCACCGTATATTGTACCAGTTGTAGATTTTTGTGTGAATTGCCGGTTCTGCTGCACGAGGGGATAATCCCCTTAACGGTGCATTCTGGGAGGATGATCCCTCTCGTGCAGCGGTGCCTGATGGGAGAAATATGTGGTACTGTAAGTCCCCCATGTAGTCCCCTCCTGTACAACCCCTGTAATGTCAGTTTGGAAACCCCTTGCATGGGGAATTGCATAAATACTGTGACCTGTGATTAAAACCTCAGTTGACTCCCAGCCTATGTGTCGCCTAGTTCTTGGGAAGGAAGGGTTACTGCAGTGCTGTTTGGATTATTATATGCTGATTCCCTGGATTATCCTTTGTTGTTCCTGTTACCCAGCGGAGATATCGTGGATCATACTGCCTCTCCGCTACAACATACAACTAAAATGAGCTGTAATATATTAACAATACATTTAAGGGATCAGTGCTTTCGGCAGCTGGGCACTATTTCCAATCAATGATTTCCTGTTGATCACTTCTGGGCCCTGATTTTACAGCTCAGTAAAAAGCAAATATAATGCAAATGTGCATGAATTACAGTGTTTTTGAAGACAATGAAACATAAGTGCACATCATTTTCTGTCTATAATCCATTTCGTTTTAGGTGAAGAAGAGAGAAATGACAGATTACATGAAGTATGATTAGATATTATTATATTGTACATTATTAGTATTTTTTTTAAATAATTGCACCTACTTACTAATTTAATATTTGTTTCTTAAAAAAGACACTGGAGGAGATATTTCATGTTCATATTAGGTATAAATGTCTAATTGGTTAAAAAGAACAAATGGGAAGCGGGGCCTGATAGAGATGGTGTTCACACTGAGCTCCTCATGTACGCACTGATTTCGTCCAGTCGCCCTTGCCATCTACACTGAGCAACCCGAGAATACTTGCCAACCTGCATTGTTGATCAGCTCAGGGCTGCTTCCAGTGGTCACCGACAACTGTTTGTTGCTGATTGAGTGCAAGCCTGGCAGGCACAGTAGTAGGGAGAAGCTGCCAATCTCCCGGCCTGATGCGTGCTGACTCTAGGCACCAAGGAGCTGATGCCCCGCTACCCCTCCTTTGGACCAGTGTGGGTGATCCTGGTATCCACCCTGTGGGTCCCCACACTCCATGGGAGACTCGTGGCTCTGCTTTACTCTGCGACCCAACCTTACCCAACATGGCGGAGGTTGCGTGTCCCCTAGAAGCAGCAGAGCGAGTGGTCAGGCGTCGAGTCCAGGCTGGACGCTCTCTTCGACAGGTTCTGGAGGGAGCTGCATGCGAGGTACCTCCAGCCCCCTACACAAAACCCATTAACTCCCTCACCTCCAACGGTGGTCTGGCTACCCTGTGGCAGACCAGCAGCCCTGGGCCCAATGGCAACCAATTCCTGACGACACAAACTGCGCCGGCTGCACCAGAAGCGCACCTCACATTGCCTAACACAAAAGCAGGGCAAATGCAGACCGCGATCAGTATTCTATGTGAGAGCTGCAGGGCAGTGGGAAGCACTGCATATACTGCATGGACTGATTGCTCATTATGCCAATTTGCCACCAGTCTTTGAAGCACACAGCTGGCCCCACAGCATCATACTGTGGGACTGTATCCTGCCCTGAACAGGCATTGGCTGATAAGTGATCGGTGGGGCCTTAACGCAGCTCTCTCTGTGCCATGAATGCCTAGCCTGCGGAAAACTGCTGGTGTACAGGCTACCCTTTTTATTTTTGGCATCTCACTATGATGATATATCTCGGTGTCCTGTGTTCTGGACTTTCACATAGCAGGCCTATGGGGCGATAATCTCATGTTGCTGACCAGATCAGCTAGTTTAGTTTGCCTCACCAACTACTAGGCACCCATTGTAATTGTTATGCTGCATTGTTTTGCTTTGCTTCTTCTTAGTACCCTCATTGCATTGTGCTACTCTTGTCCTATTTTGTTTAAAAAAATAAAGTAAAAAAATGTGCAGACTATTGTGTTAGCTGCTGGATAAAACTTTTTACACTGCCTTCTTTAACATACGTGAGCAGTATCCATGTATTCATGCACATCAAAAATAAAGAATTATACAAAAAGAACAAATGGTACATTGTTATGCTATACCATGAGAAGCAGGCCCGGACTGGCCATCGGGCATACCGGGCAAATGCCTGGTGTGCCGCAATGGCCATGGCCCGAGGCCGTCAGGGGAGATCACAGGATCTCCCCTGTTGGTCCATGCAGAGCCGGCGCTATCCAAGCACCGGCCCTGCTGTGTGCCTGCATGGGCTGGTGGGGAGATCAAAGAGCTCCTTTACAGGCCCACAGGCACTGACATGCGGCCAGGAGAGGGAGCTCTAGGCGGGGGAGCTCCGCCGGGTTCCTTTTGCGAGGTCGGAGCTTTGCTGCGCTTACCACAGCAATGCTCAGATCTCACGAGAGTGAACTCAAGAACCGCAGGCTAGAGGGCACTCACCACTTGGACCACCAAGGATGGAAGCACGGCCCCCCCTCCCAGTCAAAAGGTGAGAAGGGAGGGGGGTATAAAGTTTGTTTTTTATTAATACATATTTTTTTTATAAAAGACATATTTAATATATTTAAATATAGACACACAGCACCCACACACACACAGCCCCCTTACACACACACAGCACCCTCACACACACACACACACACACACACGTAACCCTCACACTCACAGCACCCTCAGATACACTGACAGCACCCTCACCCACACACACAGCACCCTCACACTCACGGCCCCCCTTACACACAAACACACACACACTCACAGCACCCTCACACACACACACAGCAACCTCACACACACAAACACAAAACACACACACATCCCCCATTTACAGCACCCTCAGACACACTCACAACACCCACACACACTCATAGCACCCTTACACACTCACAGCACCCTCACACTCACAACACCCTCACACTCACAACACCCTCACACACAGCACACTCACACACACACACAGGGTCCTTCACACACTAGATCCCCTACACACACTGCACCACCTACACACACTACATTCATGACATACAAAATCTGGAACCCCTATGCACTCACTGCATTCCTTGTAAGCAAACACACACTACATTCTCTAAACACGCACTGTCTACAACCCCTACACACTACATCACTTATACACACACACACACACACACACACACACACACACACACTACAGCCCATATGTACACACTTGCTACATCCCCTATACACACAATGCCCCCTATACACACAGTCTCTACAGCCCCTAGCCATACATAGTACACCTCAAACACGAATGAAATTGACCTATTTACACAATACCACACCACACTCAGCTCACTCTACACACACACAATCCTACAAGCAGGCTCCAAACACATGCACAATATGCTTTATTGGCCCTTTTGTCCTGTGGTTTCCCACTTATGGAGACACCAGAGACAAGTTACAAGCAAAGACAGCGCAAGTATGTTATTAAATTTGCTTGTGCTGCGCAGAACAAATACAGGGCCTTTTGCTCATGCTAGAGAAGGGCTCTGCGCATTGAACCAACATGCTCACTTTAAGAGGGGGCATGCTTGTCATTAGTGTTGACAAAACATGCCCTCTCTGTCCCCGTCCCTTTTCAGGGGGCCGCTGTGATTGAAAAATTACCGGGCCAATTTTTTTTTCCAGTCCAGCCTTGATGAGAAGTATAGAATGGTGGTGTATAATGACAGGATTGAGAGTTGAGGATCTTCATATATGTTCTTATATGACCAGAGTTTTAGTCAACAATTCTGATGTCATTATAACCATGTCTATAAAACAAACAGTAGACAAAGGAACACATTTTTGCTACTCTTTGGTTGTTCCCTTTGACTTTCTGGACAAAGACAATTACTCTCCATAGAAGATCTCTCTTTTTCTGTAACATCAGTTAAGCTGTACCATCTGTTAAATTTTCACTTTTGCTGTTTGCATTGTGAGTAGAATAAATGTATATTTTGTATAAAGAACGTCGAATTGCGTATTAATAATTTGGGGTGACATTGAAGTATAGGCAATCCATTAATAAAAGAAGATATACACCTAAAAAGACTTACTCCCATAACCCTTAACATATACATATTTATTACACTTTTATGTCTATTTTATAGTGAATCTTTAGTGCAAATTATTAAATCTTTTTTTTATTTGTTGCTTCTTTTGCTTTTTGAATATACACCATTTTAATGGCAATGCGGATTCATCAATCTTCCTCCACTTTTCTGACAAAAATTTATTCTGTTTTCCTTAGTTCAGCAACATCTGGAGGGCCGGAGTTTGGGGAAGCCTGCTCTATTGCATGTGATCTGTCTCTGGCAGGGCATCTCAGGTTTGCATTTACAATTACTTCTGCAACATTGCTGTGCACATAAATGATATGCTACTCTCTAACATAAATATTTCACAATATTATTCTGGTTTATTCTAATAGTTATTCGGGGGTCTACAGACACAAAATAATCCTTGACAAAACTGAACCTTTACCTATAGATTTTCTTAATTTAGCTCAGAGATACCTGGCTGGAGACTTGTTAATAATGTATGAAGAAAATGGCACCAATATGATCTAATTGTGGTGGCCAACCTCACAAATGTAATGTCTTCACAAGTGCCAAACTTGTGCTCTGCCTTCTACAGCAATATGTGTCTGAAGATGGATACTCTGTTGCTTGGCAACTTCTTCCTGAATAACCTTTATGTGCAAAGATAGAGCAAAGACTTCCCTAAAATGTTCTATATATGCTAGATCAGAAATGGATTAGAACTGAT